GTTTGCTAAACCGTTTGAGACAACGTCTGCGATAATGCAAACTAGTGTTGCTCCGGTTGCATGTTATGGTAATCGCTCCCTCGTTCGTATCTTGTGTAACCAGAATTAAAATGTCTCCGATCCCGTTAAAAGCTGCCTTAATTCAAATTTCCAGCAAAAGGTGCGAAATATTTGACAGTGTAGTAAGTAACTGCTTCTTGGATTTTTAAGCATCTATGAACAGCGCGGCATATAGAGATCAAAAATGTAAGCTTATGAACGAATCACCACATCACATAATAAATGATGCATAAGACAGATAGTAATTTTTACAGACATTTATCCAAATTTTTTGATCTGTCTCTTCTCATTATTCCTAAGCAGTAATAATATGCACCGTCAAAGGCTATAATATATTCGAGAGAAAAAAATTGGTCAAGAGAAGCCAGTCTAAAAGAAAGCTATACTTTAGAGCCACTCACTGAGCAGATTACCCTTTTACGTCTCTACTCTATTTACCAGCAACAACTCCATTAAATTTTTAGCTATTTGATAGTTTTAGAGAGAATTGAAGAACCGGTTATCAAATTCAATGAAAACTTCAAAAACTATAGTATAATTTTCCCATAACCGCACATCTCTCAGTCAATTCAATTTTCAGTTACTCATATCATCTGTTCTAGCAAGAAAACTATTCACTGCTTCTTGCATTATGCAAAGCATATTCGCTCAGTGAATTCATCAAAGAAGCAAGAATTTTTTCTTCTGGAATTTGCTCTGTGACGAATATTAGCGCCGTGTTTGTGTTAGGAAGCGCAATTCTCGTTCATCGGTTTTTTGCCTGCCTCTGCTGTCATTTAAGAAAACAACATTGTGCGGAAGAAACATTTGCTTTACACCGAAAAGGCGATAATGGGTAGCCAGAAGAATTCACAACGGCCATGGAAAATGTGATGGACGATGATGGTCTGGATCGATTTAACACAAAGGCTAATTCAATTGCTATTACCCGCAGCTAGAAGAAAAGAAAGAGAGGAAAAGCGGGTTTTAAACAAACAACATAACAGTGGTAAAAAGTCCAACTAAACTATTATCAAAATGAAAAGCCCTGTACCTTTCCTATAAATGAGTCGTCTAATATAAAATACCATAAAATTCCTTTAAAATCAAATTCAGTTTCTCCTCTTCAATCGCACCAGTGTCAAGAATTTTAATTCAAAAAAAAAAAATGTAATTTCTTGAAAGTTCAGGTTCATCAGAGCTAGCAAGTTCCATTCAGATCAGGCCACAGAATCTTCAATTTGACACTGGCACCACAAACTGTCAACTGCAGTCTTCAAGGGTATGACATATTCTCAGCCAAATTATGCGGCAACCTCAGACAACAAATGACCCAATGTTGTCAAATTTATACAGTTTTCTTCTGGTGAATCACAGTTTTCTGATGGGATTACTCAAAGCCCAATATTTGACATTTTCAATACCATATGTTTCATGTTTCAGCCTCATGACTTTACAGTATTCATAAACAAAGAAAAAAAGAAAGAAATGATTCTGATTTAAAAAATAAATTTAAGTGTTTGCAGAACCTGATATACATCATTTTTATTATAAAAAAAATTCCTTTTTCAAAATGTAATGCATGCCCGCTGCAAAAAAACTGCCTATGCAGTGCTACAAATTCCATAACAAAAAAATTATATTGGCTGATAACAAAAAGAAAAAAATAGAAAAAACATCAAAATAAAGAAGACAATGCATGAAAACAGAAATTTCAGTAGCTTTTTTTGAAACGCTATCAGTCATTGTTGATCATCCGCAACCACCATGGAACCCTACATATCAGTTAAAAACTTATTGTCCTTAGTTTTTTTTTTTTTTTTTTCTTTTCTTTAAGACTCGAAAGATTAGAGCTTAAACTATAGTTACGCAAAGCTGAAAGCTGAATTCCCAGAAGTGTATAAATTGACACTGAATATTGCAACAAACTGCCGATAATTTTGATTGGCAAGTGATAACGCCGTATATATCGAAGTAAAAAAAAAAAATGAGAACAGAATGCGGTAACCAATGGGTTGGCTGCTGAGCGAACGGCAAACGCTTCAACGAATGTTTTTAAAAAACCGCTGGTTTTGAACGTAAAAATTGCAGAAATTGGCAATTTTCCAGGAAATCGAGGAAATCTTTTCACAACGGCTCTCCGTAATGCATTATGCCTTGTCAGTTTTGAAGACAAGTCATACAGCTTCTCCGTATTCTGTTTCATTGCTGATTGCAATCGCTGTCATGTATAGTTTAGTATGCAGTTGTTGTTCCGATGTTTGCATGATAGCTTCGACACCGCATAGTCGCTTTACTGGAGATGAACTGATGACGCTACCAAATGTGGAATAACGTGCCGTATATTGTTTTTTTTTTTTTTTTTTTTTTTTTTTTTTTTT